ATACAGATTCCGGCCACCAAACTCGGAAAGTCCAGAGCACCGGTATAAAATCCAATCGTTATGATTAATTTCAAGAGTAGATAAAAAACGGACGAACATTAAATACTGAACATAAATAAATGCGTATAAAAAAATGTCTTCGTATAATACTGTCATATGTTGTAGTACAATATTGGACGTTTTATTAATCCATGAATTATTTGATTGGATTGCTAATTTGGAAAAAGATTTTAGAATGGGAAATTGCAAGCTTGAGCATTAGCGGGGGACCCGACGCGATCATTTCGCAAAATTGCACGCGTTCTTCGGCCGCGCTGTGCCAATTTCACATCTACTTCTCAATGAAGTGGTCCACGGTGTTTTCATCCTCCTCTGCTTTGTTTCTGAATCGCTTCTGTAAGAAAACAAAACCGACACCAGTCGCGTTACACACGATGCACATGATGTTATGAGTTGACGATGATTGCATGATGCGTGCATCAATAATAAAACTTAGCTTAGCTTAATCGATCCGCATGATTCGTTCAAGTCCAATTGAAAGTTCTGTCGGATTTCATATGAATTTCGTAACCGTTCAAAGCCTTTTCCCAATTGTTTAATACTTGGATTCTTTTATCGACTTTCAATTAGACCTCGTTCCACGAAAACTTAATCGCATTAATGCAAAACTCGTAAAATATAGCTGAAGCATGTAACAAGCTCCCTTTAATCAAACGATTGTGTTTTTATCTTATCTGATTCATCCCAACTGGTTGCACCCGAGTATGTAACTCCTCGTTCGCCGTTTCGTGGCTGAATTTTCTCCGTTGTTCGACCAACCGCCTTTCGCAAAATTTCAAGGCTTCGCGAATGACTCACCATGATCCGGTACTTCTCTTTGCACGCGTATTCCGTCTCGTCCACGTCGTTATAACAATCGCTCTTGTAATCAGGCGGGATCGGTTTCCCTTCGAACTGGCAGAGTCTCGATAACGGTTTCGCGTTCACGATCATCTTCTCAAAGCCAGTCGGCTTCGATTGCGGACAGTAGAATACGTCCGGTGTGTTTTTGTCGAACACGATGCTCTTCCGCATCATATCGCCAGCCTCCGCGGTCAGGAGAATCGTCTGAAGAATTTATTTCACTACTCCGAATGATCTGTTACCAACTTTTACTTAGAGAAAGTTTTTAAATCGTGATCGCATGTTCAGGAATACAGTTACAATTTGAAATAAAATAAACATTATTGAAGTAGCTGTAGAATCGTTTTCAATCAACATGATTCGTACTTGAATCGTTAATTTTACTTTCCATTCGTGAAAGGATCAATATTCTTTAACGCGCGAGTTTCCGAGTTTTACGCAAGAAAGCAAAGTACGCAGTTTTTCTTTCTCGAGTTCGACTAGAGTTATGCAAAATCGAGGAATAGAACAAAGAAAGTGCAAAAGTTGAATGCGGAACACGTGAATTATCGTGGTAGTACGATTAATTATGATCGTTTGTGCAATGATAACTTCCCCGGTTGATTGGATTCACCAAATTATAACGCGTATACCAACAATAATTACTCCTGGAAGTGAAAAGTAGGATAGTACGATCGTTGAGATAGGTATCTACCTAATACTTACCATGAGCATAGTCATCAGACAGAAGGTGTACATGTTCCCTGAAAAATAAACAGACGATAAATAATATGCACCTTTTCTGCACGAAAGGGAAAGTGACGAAATAATATGGTTTCTAGAAAAAGAAGAAACGAAAATGAGCGATATCGATTACGTATAAGAGAACTGAAGTAAAAAACTTGAATCCTTACGCAAGATATAACTTATGGGCATGTATCATTATTAAGTAAACTGGGCCACTGCGAGAAAGAGTCAATGCCGTGCTCTCTTTTCCTCATCACAACGGCTCAACGAAAAAAGCATCGAAAGAACTACTAAGGATATAATCAATTATTTATAGCGATCGTGGAATGAGATGCATACAAGTCAAGGGAAAAGCATTATGCTTCCCTTGAACTGATCTTCGCCTCTAGTTTATCTAACTGCAAATGGCATGTGGGTGGGTACGCTCAGGCTAGACATTATTTTTATCCGTCTGATCTACTATCGATCCTAAGCATCAGTCGAGCGCGTCTTTTCCAAGGCCGACGAGGTCGCCTATTGCGGTTCCGCGTGGTGCATTCGATCCAGCTCCTGCCTCAGGACACGTTCAACTGATACCCTTTTGACATTTCGTTGACTGCGGTGTCGTTGGTTACAAGTTAGATGAAATAGAAATAATATTTCGAAAATGATTTTACAATTTAATTCAATTAACATTTAGTGGAACGTTCAAAGACAAAATCTGTTCATTTTCTGTTTAGAATTTTATTCGTTCCTGGATCATTCATAATTTCTATTACGATTGTCAATAATTTGAAATAATTAAACTTAATAATTAAACTTGAAACTAGAAATGAAGAATTGTGATGTTCGAAAGTAAAAAATGTTCACACAATTTCGTTAAAAATATTAGAACTGTTAAAAAACATCATGGACGAATCGGGTATTAATAATGTTACGTGGACAGCATAAGCGCAATGCCTAACATGCTAGCATGTCTCATCCCGCATACCTAAACGAAGACGCAAGGTATTGTTGCGTGGGTTTCAACTTTTATTTGTGCAGGTGATTCTCGGCACGTACCTTACTTTCCACGTCGGACGCAACAAACTTTAAACTCATTTCGGATGAGTTAACGTGAATGAAATAGATACTCACCCATGCTGGTGAATGCACTTTGTACCAACTTGGAAACACCTGTTGATCCACGCGAGACGGCGTCTCTCCGTTGACTGAGATTATACTTACAGCGGATTCGCGCTCCCCGCAGGCACCGAAAGTGGATGCCGTTACATTATACAGGATATATCAAAAACGTGGGACTAACAATATTCGTGATACTGTTTAAGGTAGTAGTCCTGCTACAACGGCATCCAAAAGTCCGCTGTTCATAATACACGGACAACACCTGTATTTCTTGATGAAAGCAAAAAGAAAATTTTGATTATGAGGGTACAGCTTGAACCTATGGACTCGATGCCCCAGGTCCATGCTTGAATCTTCTCTTCTAGACCCTATTTTCCTTACTCTATTTCATATAAATTCTATAAATTTGCAATTCTTGCAATACTCTTACTCACAAACGATGACACTACCTATTCTAATCTTTACTATTATATAAAGAGGAAATATTTGTTTATATATTGGCAAAAATCTTAAAAACGATTTAAGTATTTATTTTAGCTTCCTCATTTTTTCCTCCTCAATTTTCAAAGAGCTCGTTTAGTCTTCGTCCCGCGATTGTGAATTGAACGAACAGGTGACTAGGTTTTATTTTTATTACAAAAGGAATTCATCTGGATATTAAAAAAACATGTTCCTGCATAATTGACCACGTCCGAGGATTTGGGAAGGTATGGTCATAAATGTGGGTGTTGGGTGGGCAGTTAGGTGACCTTGTTCTTCCCATATTCAGGCTGGATAGTATCATCAGTTTATACTGACCTGTATTCGGATATTTGATCTCTCCTTTTTCTTTCTTGTTCTCAAAACTTCTGATGTAATTATAACAATTTTTTATAATTGCTAAGTACCGTTTTACAGTTTGCTTAAAGAAAAATCATTAATTTATTGATTATTTCAATTATACATTTCTTTAGCAAACATACAAATAAAATGATATTCAATCTCTATATAATCTGTAAAAATTTGACATTTAATCTGTAAACAATGTATTTCAATCTGTACAATAAAAATCAATTTTAAAATCTTAAATTTTCGTGCTTTCGTTAGTCACTATAAATTGATCATCGTGAATTAATTTGTAATTACCGAATAGGGGATGCGAGCTTGTCAAACAAGAGACGGTAGGATTACTAGTAAATGGACATATTCAATTTCGCAAAACGAAACTTGAATTTGAAATAAATAAGACGTAGTCGCATTACACAAGTTATGGTGAAGAAACATTGACAGAAATGAAATTTTGGTCGATCGTCGCCGTTGTACTTGTAATATACATGTTTTACAAAGATCAACAGCGTCGAAAGAATTCGAAATCGTTCAACCTAATTTAAATTCAACACTGGAAAAAGATCAATGAGATCAGAATGACCAATCAACGAAGAGGCAAAAGTTATCATTTTTATGAATAAGTGAGAACGTTCGAAGAATTATTTTCTCGCAAGACAGATCAGTGCTCTTTAACGATTATTTATAAAAGTGTAAGAAAAGGTAAATAGAAATTTTGATATAGCAGTGTCAACCGTATTTATGTAATTCCTGAAGGTGCACCAGAACTTAGGACTACCAGAAAAGGCGCGTACCGTAGAATTCCCAAAACACGTACGGACGAATTCTACTGCGAACAAGTGCAAATAGTTTCGCGCGCGGGAACATTTAGTACTTCATAATACAAGGAGAAGAAACGTGACAGCCTTTTCAAGCATCCGAATATTTCAGTTTCATATTAGAAATACGTGATTAACTTCTTTCTGTTATGTTTTAATATAGTGTATTCATTTAGGTTATTCTTGTTAGGTAAGATAATCACGTATTTATCAGGCTCCTCTCTCGAGTAAATAACCACTTTCGCTTGAAATCGATCAATTGTTCTATTGTAGTCAATCTTAAAGTACGTTCAAAGAAATTAAAATGGAAATAGAAACGCATAATTCGTTGGTTCAAATGACTGATGAAGACGATGATCTCCTCAACGAAGCCATTTGTATGAGCTCTAACGCATTGAGTAGTGTAATAGAATCTGATAAAGAAGATCCAAAGAACAAACCTACAGAAACGAAGGATTCTATTACCTGCGTTAATAAAGTTGAGGAAAATGAAAAAGTTGTTAGTTCAACCGTAAAAGTTAATGATAGATATAAATGGAAAGAAAGACAAGCAAATAATGTATATGGTATAAAGTATGAAGATAATATCAGGAACAAGCCAGAAGATGGAAATGGTTTCCGCAAAAGATTTAGAGAAAACCAAACATATTACGAGGATACTAAAATCTCACGAATTAGACGTTCTAGTGATTCAAGTTCCACTACTAATTCCTCGGATGGTGGCAGAAAATCTGTAGAATATGAAACAGATCCTAAAGTATTAGCTCGTAGGCAAAAGGAGATAGATTACGGAAAAAATACTATTGGCTATGATAGATATATTCAGGCTGTGCCTAAGTAAGCATTTTCTGATTAATGTTTTCCAAGGAATAGTGTTACGTATTAATTTGTATTGATATTGTAGAGAAAAACGTACAAAAGAACATCCAAGAACGCCACCAAAGTATATTAAATATAGTAGAAGAGGATGGGATGGTATGGTACGATCGTGGAGGAAACAGCTCCACTTGTGGGATCCTTCAGAAGACGATAACGATACTAATTCAAATGAAGTTTAAGTTTATTATGCTTTATAGTTCCATGCTTTTTTATACTTGTATAAAATTTAATCTGAACAGTAGAATTAGATATTTAATATGAGTTTTCGTACGTTCTTACATGTACGTGAACAATTCTATATGTTAAAGGAAGTTGATCGCAGTTTAAATTAGATGAAGTTAAAAATATGTACATGTGTCTTATAAGATGAAAAGTTTTTGAATGTACGAGCAGGAAAATGAATAAGTACATAGAAATGAAAGGATGCCATTTCGAAAATCGTTTATTTTATGCGTATAGATTTAATACATAGAGAAATTAAATACGTATTGTCATTATATACATACAAGTATATTTGTATCGTGAAGTCTGTAAAGTGGAAGGTCACTTGATACTATTGCAGTGTTTGTAATTTATTCAAAATACTATCAAGTTTTGCATTGGTTCTTTGCTCCATTTCATCGATTCTCTTCATTAGTCTTGTTTCCATTTCTTGACACTTCTTATCGATATACGTAATTATATCTGTATTATTCGATTCCTTCTCATCCGCAGATTGCGCTATTTCTTTTTCATTGGTTCTATTTCTAGATGAGTTCAAAATATTCATATAACATGACTGAATATTATTTGTGGCATTGTTCCCTTTGTCATTAAAATTAAGTTTAGTTAGGAAATTTTGTATTATCTCAGGATTAAATTGTATCGGAGAGACGTTATTGCATTCAGTGCTGGGCTCTGTTAAATACAGTCTTATACCATATATCCACATAACTGAATTTTCATTTTTCGTTTTCACGAACTGAAATCACATGGAAATTTCTGATTACATTTTTCTAACGTAAGAAATACATTTTATGTACAGTGACTCTCATTAATATTCGAACAGACTTAAAAACGGAATAACTGCTTTAATATTGACCAATCTACTTAATTCTTCTTTAGATATTAGGAGACTTAGTTTCCTAGAGATTCATAAAACTTTGTACATAAATATAATTTACATAGTTTAATTTTAAATTGTTTTTGTTAATTTGATGTTTAGTTTAAGAGCAGTAGCGATGAATCACACAAGATAAGACTGTGTACATATTAGTCATAGATTTGACTTGATCCTCTCTCCAACCCATGATTTCATCCTTTTACTCATCCTTGACCTTTCAGTTCACAACTACATTACTTTTCCGCTTTTCCTCATACACAGTCTTCTAACATTAAAAAAAAATGAAATTGGTTGGTCCAATATTAAAACCATTTTGAAGTGTGTTTAAATATTAATCAGGGCCAGTGTACAATCTTTCTACCTTAATACTAGCTTCGGAGGTATATGGAAGAATTGTTGTTTCCACAAAGTAGACCGAAGTATCTTCAAACTTATCTATCAGTTCTGCAAACTTTGTCGTGTCATATTCTCCAAATTGCTTGAAGAATTCTAATACATAAGCTTCGGAAACAACGGCAATCTGTGTGATTTTTTGGCCATTAGTTAATTTTATATCTATCATACACGGTTCGCTATTTGAATCAGATGATTGCACAGATATGCACGTTTCCAGAGAAACAACATCCTCGTATTCAGTTCTGTAAAGTAAAAAATGCATAATTATATTTAGAATGAGAGGAAACAAGAAAATTAGACAACAGGTTTTTATGCAAAATACAAGATTTATGGTTTGCAATTTCCTTTATCATTTAAGTACTGCAATATGCATTTGCTCTTTATATTTTGTATACTTTTATGCAATGTTTGTACTTTCAGCCCATTCAATTTCATAAATGCATAAAATCCGCAAATACTGATGAACGAGAATTACTTCAAAAACTCTTTAGGCGAAGCTTCCAAAGTCAAAGCATCACGGAACTGTTTGTTATTAGTAATTTGCCAGTTGCACGAGATTTGTAAACAATTCGTATCTAACGAGAAGGAAGTATTATCCACTTGTCGATCATTTAGAAGTTCCATTATATACACAATTATCTGAGAGATTCTTGCTATAAATCAACATGCATTATAAGAACTCCTGTCTTATTTTCATAGTATTATTTCAAATTCGTAAACAATATTTTTTTCTCTCATAAAGGTTATTTCATCTTTCACTTAATTTCCACTGGGAAAGCTTTTCGAATATTGAAAAACTGCGTTGCAATGAATATAAAAGGATTGTACACAAATAATTATATATTTATATTTTAACATTCGTTTAATCGAACGTTATAAATCGATTGTCTTTTATAACGTGTTATACGTTATACCGCGATCGCGCACAACAAATACAGTGAAAACTGACCGTAAACGTAACGATTTACAGTGGCGCGAAATATGCGGTCGCCGAAATAAGTGAATAAAGAACCGAAACCGAAATATCAATGCTTGTGAACGCACGTTGGTAGATTAATAAATAATGTCGAGCATTAAGAATAAAAGGGCGAATATATTTAATCATTAGAATAAGAAAATCGCGTGGAGATATGAGCGGGCAATAGAATGCGTTTGTGCAAAATTTTGAACACAGTGCTCACGCGATCAAATGTGATAAGTAGAGGGGGATCTCGTCGAGAGCAGTTGTGCAGAAATATTGAACAGAGATCCTTGTTCACGAGTTGTGTTTCGTCTCCACGTTTCGGTAGCTCTAGCAGTAAAAAAATGTCGAAATACACGATTGTTATGGTACGTCATGGCGAGAGCGAATGGAATAAATTAAATCTGTTCTGCGGATGGTATGACGCCGATTTGTCCGACAAAGGTAAGTCATCTTTTCGGCAACTTTGAGAAGAGAGTAGAATCTTGAAGGGCAAAAGGTCGACCAGTTTCAAGTATTCCGGGATGGTTATGTACTCTTGATTGCAGGATTTACGTCTATATATATATAAATTAATTACATATTTATATTACGATTGTTTCATAGTGAGAGAGAAATTAGACAGATATGAATAAATTTGTTGTACGTTTAAAATTACAGGTAAACAAGAGGCGCTCTCAGCTGGAAAAGCAATCAAAGATGCTGGCTTAGTCTTTGATATTGCTCATACATCATTGCTGACGAGAGCCCAAGAGACTTTGAAATCGATTCTTAAAGAAATAGGTCAAGAGAGCATTCCTGTTCAAAAAACGTGGCGTTTGAATGAGCGTCATTATGGTGGTTTGACTGGCATGAACAAGGCCGAAACTGCAGCTAAATATGGTGAAGAACAGGTTCATATCTGGAGAAGGTCTTTCGATGTACCTCCACCACCTATGGAACCAGATCATAAATATTACGACACAATAGTAAAGGATGCCAGATATGCCAATGAATTAAAGGTAGAAGAATTTCCTAAATGCGAATCATTGAAATTGACTATTGAAAGGACATTGCCATACTGGAATAATACTATCATTCCACAAATGAAAGAAGGAAAGAAAATTATCATTGCTGCTCATGGAAATAGCTTGCGTGGCATAGTGAAGCACTTGGATCGTAAGTTTTTATTTTATCAAAATTATGTTCCCAGTGAGTTCGAGAAACACATTTGAAGTTTCACAAGATCACAAATTTTTTATTCCTATAAAGAATTGTCAATATTAGTTGTTAGCGCGACAGTACTCCTTAATTAGTATGTGCATTAATCGCATTTTGTTTTTTGCTTTTCAGAAATGTCCAATGATCAGATTATGGGTTTGAATTTACCAACTGGTATTCCATTCATCTACGAATTGGATGAGAATTTCAAACCTGTTGTATCTATGAAATTCCTGGGCGACGAAGAAACAGTTAAAGCGGCAATGGCTGCAGTTGCTGCCCAGGGGATGTATGTTCTATTTTTATCAGAATGTCAGCAAAAAATCATTTTAACAAAATTGATATAAAATAGCAAAACTGAGAATTGTTTTGACTTAGGGCTTATACTAATTTAAGCCATCTTGTTTCTCTTAGTCCGCGACATGGAAGGAATATTCTAAAATAAAATTAAGATTTGCACTGAGAATTGTCTAAGAGGTGCATCGTAAACAAATTAACTCAGTTCCGCTTTCCCTAGACTATAGGTGCTGTGTTTGCTGCTAAGCAAATGCAAATCGATGGAAAAAAGATTATCATGGGAATATGGGACACAGCAGGCACTGAAAGGTATTCTTCAAAGTCTATTATTGTTTTCATATAATACTAGAAATTAGTTGGATTATACTAACAGTTGTAGCTTACGCGCATGTATGATTTCAGATATGATGCTATGTGTAAAATATATTATCGCGGCGCGAAGGCAGCTATTATTTGTTACGATATTACAATGCCGGACACGTTTCAAAAAGCGAAATATTGGATAAGGGAGCTGAGAGATATAGAGGAAGACTGTAAAGTGTACATTTGTGCTACAAAAAAGGATATCTTAGAGCACGGTGCAGTTCCATGTCCTGAGATAGACGTTGTAGAAAGATATGCTGCAAGCATACAAGCTAAATTGTTTTTAACGTCTAGTAAAACTGGAGAAAACGTTGGTAAGGGTATAGACAATATCTATTCGATAAGTGTTAACATTTGATATTTATTAAAACATTTTTGTAGCTGAGCTGTTCAATGAAATAGCAGAAGACTTTATGTCTGACCCAAGAAATGTACAAAAAGTGGAGGAAGCAATTGAAATAAGCAATCAGTCCAAAAGAACAAATTGTTGTAAATAGGTGAAACAAATTTAAAATTATCATGCGTCCCACGCTTCGTTTGGTATTGCTTTGTACAAGTGAACATTACAAGTGTAAATTAATGTGTAGTATAGTATATCTCGACACATTATTACATGTAAATGTAAGAAAGACACCGCTGAAGATTATTTTTAAATATACATTATATTTTACATTCCTTCGATATACGTCGAATTTTTTTCTTGAAATATTTATTAATTGGGATATACGTAAAAAGATACTTCAAAAAGTAAGTAAGTAATAATTTTTGATTATGTCAATAAGAAGTCAAAGCTTCTTATAGAAGACTGTAGCACGTTTTACTATTAATATTAATAGCAAGATGGTGTATGTATCTTTTCATTTTGTTGTATTGCACAAGCAAGTTCTTTGTTCTCCTTGAGATCTGTAATAAGAATTGCTATGATGTATCAAGTAAAAATCTCTTTATGAGTACCTTATCGATAAGAGTCAACAGTATATAAACTTCTTATAGTATATATAGTACTACCATTTATCTAAACTATTTGTCCACTTGGGCTATACAATAGTAGCACGTACGACAAGATATTGTTTGTTATTTTATATTTATTGACACATCGTCTGATTAAGTTGATAAAATTGATACACAAAGTTCTCTAACTTTCTCGTAGACACCGAAAAACATAAAACCGCTGAGAGTGAAACCACCGACTCTTGGTAAAAAGCCTGCGAAGAGTCTGGAAATATTTCGTCAATTAATGTTTGCGCAATAGGAGAAAGAACGTAGTCACATATTCATACCCTTTAATGCCGTATTCTCGATAAACCCTATTTAGCATTACGGAAATTCTCGTTTCATCTTTGCCCACCGTTGTACTCGATAACATTATTCTAGTTTTCGCAACGTCTAAAGGATTCGTTAGAGTCGCGGATATAG